GGGTGACCCTCGAAGTGCCCTTAAGCCACTTGCGATTGATGGCGTTTGCGCGGTACTGCGTACCGGCGTACTGCCTTTGTGCACCGTAGTCTAATAGTCATCTCATTTTTTCACTTATCTTGCCTCGCTACACCAGCTAGAATTTTCCGGTCAAATTGCACACTTACCATGCTGCGATTTCCTACCTCTTGCTATGGTTGCTCGCGTAGACTGACTCCAGTTAAGCCATGCAACAGTCAGTCAGTCGCCAGATAATAGAAAAATTCTCTAATTTCTCTCTTCTTCATCGTCGACTCGAGGTCACTCTCATATCTCTCCCTTCTTCCTCGGTTAATTGATCTAGTTGCTCATAAACGACATTTATATCTCTTTCCACTCTCATAGACTCTAAGGTCTGTTTGGTGCTTGCCAAACCTAGAGTATGCGAACAAACTGTTTCTCCTTGGCCCGGAACTAGCCGTTGCGTAATAGGCTGGTATGTGGCACTGTATGCTTGACTAACATGCACTTGCGCTTGTGCCGCGTTCGAGTTAACCTGATTGAATCCATTTTAATTTATTTGCTCAGTTCTGTTAATCCACCGCATATCCCCCATTTGTTTTGCAGTTTTTTTTTAATTTTCGCTGTTTATTCGGTTGTCAGTACATATTTTTACTCTGTTCTTTTACGCCGCTGCATACATACTGTCCAGTTTGTTTGCTTTCTTTCATATTATGCATTTGCTGTTTGATATCCCTCCTGTCGCGGCGCTTGATGTGAATATTGTCATGGTACCTAACAGTCAAAAACCACTGACTTTATTATTTTGGCTCCAGGAGACATTTGGTTGTTGCTGTGGGAGACGCGGTACACGGCCTCTTGACCGTGTTACACTCAATAAGTTGTCCCATCCAATGTGAAACGGGCTACTTCCTAGCTACCGATTTTTTTTACATCTGGTACGCATGGTTCCCCAGACTAATTGGATAGGAATGCTTCTGCTGTGCATGTTGGAGGAGTGCGAGCAGGCTCCGTTGAGGAAACTTCACTTTCATCCACATACCTCCCAGTCTTATTCCTTCATGTTTACACTGGATATGGAATGTGTGGGTAGTACAGCGCAAGCCACCCATGTTCTCTCCGTGGGCACAGGTGTCCTGTGGCTGTCCCCATGGAGGTCACAGTCATAGGTAAATCCGGAATCGAGTGCCGCCAATCATGTTTGGTGGCATTGGGGATTTTCACATAGAACCGTCTGCGTAAGCTTCACCAGGAAAGCATTGTCTAAGCTAGTGAATCGGCACAACGTAACGGAACGTTTGGAAAACCTGCATGTTTTAAACCAGGAGAGGTGTAACTAAGTGGATTGGCCAATGAGAGGGGAATATATTTATAAACATGACTGTTTGTAATATTGGAAGCTGTTCAGAAAGTGAATCCTTGTAAATGCGGGGACTGATCGAATCATGTGCACTGGCATGTGTCTGGGCTTTACATAGTTTCGCTTGCGCGATTTTGTGAGGACATACATTCCGCATAACAAAGAATGCAATAGCCTTGCCACTGGTGTCGATCGCAGCCCTTACCCAATAACATCTCGATCCAAACTTGTGGTAGATCACTTGGACCCCAGCATAGATAATGGGACAGACAAACAGCAATCATTCTAATTGGATGGTCGATTTTGCGTTACACGTTGTGTAATTGGATTGCGACGCGCAATCTCAATGTAAACCGCGATTAACGTTGAAGTAAACCTTGGTCACTGCGATCACTAGGACCGTAGCCGAATCAGATAGAAATTGGGTGTTGCCCACAGTGTTTTCGGGTGAGCAGTCATTCGAGTTTTTCACTGTTGCACTTCCCTCTATCACTGCTAGAGGACGCAGAACCTAACGACATCGGTCTGATAGAACATTCAGCATTCCGGCTAGAAGATGATTCCCTCGTCTCATGGTTGTGACCTTGCTTCAACCAATGACAGTTTTCCACCTTTACATTTTCAAGGGGATTGTGTATGAGGCCTTTATAAACCAATGAAATCGTGTCCCATGTACCTCATTTTGTCTTCTCGCATTAGAGTGTTCCTTGTTGACATGTTTCGACTTCTGTTTTGGCTCGAAGTTTGGGCTTCGAGGTCGGCAGGTTCGATGTTCATAGAAGGCCACAACAGATTTTTCTGGCGACGGAGGTAGGTCTCTCCCTGTTCTCCTCTAAGATGACCATCCAAACTTGGATTGACGAGCTATCCGCTACACCGGGAAATGAGCGGCCACATGTTGTGGTGCTTCGACATGATTCTTGCTGCACTTCGCCGATGCTTACACGCTATCACTACATGACACTGGAACTGCTCCGAAGACAATGGTGCCCAGAGACTTGTAGTCTCCCGAACTCGAAGTGGTCAAATCTCACTATCACACAGAACAACCGCCACTGAGTTTTTGTTTGCGCGGCCGACGTAATCCAGGGAAACCCCGTTCTTATGCCAGCAACGGTACAGATTCATTTAAGAAATTCCTGCTTTTGCTATCTATGGGCTAATTTCATTTGTCACACACCAATTACGTCGTTATTTTATGCCAGACAGTTCAATCTGCCTCACTGACTATGACACTTAGCTCATCTATGAACCAACTTCCAAAGTTCACAGTTCAACTGTCACAGCTCATGCGTATACTACTAATCTTGCTGCCATGTTCTCTTATCATAACGGAATTTTAGGTTCATCAATCACTATCTGTGTTGTCCTCGTTAACCAGTTTTGTTCATGAGAACCTCCACTTGTATTACTCCAACTACATCCTACAAAAGCTATTCTACTCTCTTGAGCGACCAGCGGGGCTGGTTAAACACTTGTAAACTCCTCGATCTTTCTTTTCTTCATTCTCCCCGATTACCCATGGGTTCGTGTACGAGTAACTGGATATTATGACACTAGACATCTGTATACTCGTGCTCATGACATTCTTTTAACACCGCTACATGTTCTTATGCCTGGCTCAAGCAAAGCTGTCCGCGTTCGCACTTCCGCTTTTTTCTCTCGGTACTTGGAAACGGCTCGTGTTGGTTAGGTCCCATCCCGTCTTCAGCCTTACACATTTCATCGATATTTGACTGACCACGGTATGCTAAAGCAGCCTTTTCTCCTCTAGGTTTGCTTCACAATCACTTGCTGAGGTCCACTACTGGTTTCTTAGCTTTGGATTACAAATTCTTTTAGTTTTCCATTTAACCGTTGTCATAGTGTGCAGCGGAAGTTTGAAGCTATTGCGTTTTGCCCTGGCGAGAATGGCACTCGAAGCAACGCATGACATCGAAACTGTAGTCACCTCAGTCTCTGTTCACTTTGCATGGTGATACTCCAAGCGTTTGCGTCGTATTTTGAGATGAATTTGCGATGATTAAATCAATTATCGTTGTAGTTTCACCGTGCACTTGTAGGTTGTCCAACCGCATCACACTTTTGGCTAACCCGCTGTTCGTTTTCAACTTTTCTCTTTTTCAACCATTCCCCCACTTGCGGAAATCGAATGAACCGTTTATGTTTGCATTTAATCGTACAGGCTGTATTTGGAGCGGACTTGTTTTGATTATGGGAGAATAGTTGTACTACCTCCTCCCTTTGCACCTCCAACAAATGCGCTTCTTCTCAAGCAATCTTGTCTTCGTCTTATGAATACCGACTTCCTCTTAGGCCTTATTATCCTCACAAAAACTAACAATCCTGCGCTAATTTGTTGTCACCTCAATTTTTGCTGCAGTGTTGCGTTGGAACTATGATCGGATGCATTTGTCGGTGATTTATTCCTCTACTTACCGTACCCCAGCTGCTGCGGACCACAAAGCCCATCCAGACCGACCCTTCATGTCATGGCGGCACTCTCTTGCTAACAAATAGTGTCCAAATGCTTCTGATCCTCTCTCACTGGCTTTTCTGTAAGCTTAATGTGGTGACTCGTAGCTATGGCAAGACGAAGGTAAGCTAACAATTCACGATAGTTAGATACCGTCCTCCATGGCGCAGTTGCATAAGCTGCGGGCTAGTTGGCAAGAGCCACTAGCAGTCATGGGTTCGATCCTCCGCAGAGGACCGAAGGATGCGCACCACTGATGAGCCCCAATAGGGCGAAACGGCCGTCTGGTGCTTTTCCGGACAGCTGGTCGACATATCTGAATTGTCGGCTGATTGCGACGAACAAAATACTCACCAAAATCCTTCCATTCATAAGTAAGCACAGACTGCCTGTCTATATCATGCTCAAACTGCACGGGTTGTCATGGGCATCACATTTCTCCGGAACGTTTTTGGCGGAGTAACTCACGTTATAATGCGTGTCAGTTTAATCTGCGTCACCTGTGTTACACAACGAAATCGGCGGTGGAAGTCGCTATCTAACTCTGCCTATTATTTCGAGTCAGCACAATATGCAAGTTTGCATTGTGGATAGTCTGTACTATCAGCAGCTGCGTATCGATCATTCGGCTTCTGAACAGGGGCTGATCAGTATATATATATATATATATATATATATATATATATATATATATATATATGTTAAAAATCTAATTACCGATAATAGAAACGCGCTAAATGGCCGTTTCTTCCTATTGGGACACGTCAGTAACGCGCGTCGGCCGAATCCTGCCGGATTCGAATCCACGACCTTACTCGTGCGAGTCAGCGACGTATGCCACTGAGCCATGGGCGACGGTAGCGGACCATCATGACTGATATCTAACAGAAATATAGCGCGGCTCATCCTCCATTGTCATACGTTTTATGAACGTGCAGCAGACAGGGCTACTGTTTGCTACAATGCGATCGCTCCAGCTCTTCGCTAACAATTGTCCAGATTACTTAAGCGCGTTTTATGCTATAATTCGATTTTTATGCGCCTTGCAATCTGACACATTGCTTTTCCCATTAACCCATCTACAAATGCTCAACACTGGTTGGTAGAACCTTACTAAACACGGACGTTTTCATACTTTAAACTTTTTCACACTTTTATCCACAGTGTCGGATCCTACGGCGGATCGCTCCTCCGATCACTTGCATCTGCCAGCAAATACAAACGAGACGAATGGAACTCGCGAGCAGCTTGGTTCGTTTCATCGATTTTCTGCCGGGCGGGAATTCACCGGAACAACACGCTCTCCTCTGAGGGCCCACAAGCAACTTTCGCACTTCCCAGACTATCCAAATGTTCGCAACCCTACAAGCTGGCATCGATGGGAAACAGATGAAGACTGGCGTGACCGTGATTCCGTAGAAGCTATGCGTGGAGGCCCTCTAGACTTGGATCCAAGCAGTGACAATCAGCGTGGTCTGCCATTTTTTCAGCCGAAGAACCCCTATGCGACTTTCAAGCATCATAAAGCGCAGTCCTTAGCTTCGGACTTTGATGGCGTCGCTTGGGAGCGACCGGCTTTGTGGAGCCTTCGGCAACGTCGGTTTGGCCACCCGCACTCGACTACATCCGATGATCGCCCTCATCGGAGCAAAATCCCTTCCTTTTACAGTCGTAACAATTACGTTTTGTCTCATACCTCCGATGAAACAAAGCCACCTCGTTTCCATGCACCTACTGTTAACCCGATGGACCAATATTGGGATTCCTATCCCGGGTCCGATTCCATACTCGATTTGGACGACGACACACATCCACACCAGCGTCATTTACTACCCAGCAGCTCACGGACAGAAGAGTTGATTGATCCAAGTGTTTTCAATCATTTTCGCACCCAGGATCGAGAGCCGTCTAGTGCAGCAGATGTTCCACATAGACACACCGTTTCATCAAGTTAGTTTGCCTGATTTATAAGTTTTACATTTTTAACCCTTCGGGGTTGTGATTACTGGTTGGTTTACCGATTACTGTTTGGAAGCAGCAAGTAGAGTTTGCTCTGTATAGCTGCATCAATTGTCACTCATGGACAAATACCCGTTATGTTGTGTTCCGCTCAATATATTTTGTGTCACCAAAGTGTTTGTCAAGGAACTTCTTAAATTCCGACACTGACTTTGCCTCAACTACGTGCTGTGGCAGGTTGTTCCATACATTCACCGCTCTGCGTTCGAAACAGAGTTCGGGTGCGACGCGCTTCAAATCCGGTACGACAAGCTTATACCGGTGTCCTTGTGTGCTGCTTAGTGTGCGCAGATGAAGCAGGGGCCTTAACATGGGTTAATCTCCCATATGTAATATCCGGTGCGTCATGATGGGTCAACCTTCAGTCGAGGATAAGCTAGGGTATAAAGCCCTAGTTTTTTTTACACCGGTCTTGGTACGGCACACCTAGTAAATTAAGAATCAGCCTAGTGACTACATGCTACACTCGCTCAATCATTTTTATCTCGCCTCGGGTGATAGGACAATACGCGGTAGAGCCATACTCTAGGATTGGTCGTATTACTGAGACGAAGCGGCGAGTGGCAATCTCTTCGGACCAAGTGCTGAAGCTGCGCCTGAGCGCCCAAAGCATGCGAAGACTGTTTTGGTAAAGTCTATTCGTGTTGTCCCTGGACTTTTGTTCGTAGCCTGAGAGTACACTGAGGTCTCGAACGAAAGGCACGGAATGCAACGGTTGACCGGCCACCGTGTGGGTTCGCCTGGGCTCACACTTACCCAGCCTAATGAATTGCGACTTGACCGGGTTGATCGGAAGGTTGACCTCTGCAGACCACATGGAGAGGCGGTCGAGGTCCTGCTGAAGCAGCTCACAGTCATTGGGTGTGCAGATTAATCTCCATACCTACATGTCATCTGCAAACTACGCACAAGGTGATTGGAGTAGCTGAGGCATACCGTTTACATGGATCTGAAACAAACTCGGTCCCAGTACAGTGCCTTGGGGCACACCACTGCTCGATGGATACCAGCCGGCCAGATGATTGTCGACCTGGAAATTCTTGATCCATCGATGCAGCGAGCCGCCAACACCGTACTCCCTCGGCTTGTCAAAGAGTACTGCATGATTTACCTTGTCAAAAGCCTTACTGAAGTCAATGTAAATGTCGTCGACCGACTTGCCTTGGTTCAGCGCTTGTAACCATTTGTGCCTCGTCAACAGTATGTCGGTGCTACACCAGCGACCTTTCGCGAAACCATGCTGTGCGGCCGTCAAGAGGCTTTTCGACTCGAGAATCTGTAGAAGACTCTTCTACTCGATCTTCTCGAGTGTCTGCCAAAACAGCGGTCAGGCAGATCGGTCGGTAGTCACCATCTGAGTCACCATCTTTCAGTATTGGCTTTACGACTGAGCATTTCCACTCGCCCAGTAATAGTACAGTGGATCGGGACCTGTTAGACAGCTAAATTACAGAAGGCGCGATGATGGCCGATAGCGGCTTCAGGATCAGTGGGTGCATTCTATCTCGCGCGGCAGGCTTCGTTCCATCAAGCCTTGCCAGAAGCTTGCGTACATCTTCAGTGCTGCAATCTAGGCTCTTTAGTTCAGCGGGAGCGGTAATCGTCGAACTCATTACAGACACCTGTCACTTGCAAATACGGAGACGAAGTGCGCCGACAGGGCGGACGCACGATCTGTGCTCGAATTTAGGGGCTCTCCATCTGAGCCTTCCACCACTGGCACATTGCCTGCAGGCCTCATGCGCCGCTTCACATAGGCGAAGACTATCTTGGGAGCACATTTTACGGCGGTTGAAACCTGCTCTTCAAAGCTTCTGCGCTTTTTTGTTTTCGTGTTGTTGCCGAGATTTCGTTGTACCTTGTACGCCTTGTATTCCTCATCAGAACCAGATAACGCGAATGTGATTCACTCATTTTCTTCTTTTTTGTGATCCCTGTGGTGTTCCACTTGGTTACCGTGTGTCTCTGGGAACAAAAGATGTGTGGTGCTGCATTATCTTTAACTTTCATTACAAGGTTGTCAAGTACGCGTCATTTTACCAGTCCATATCAGATGTTGGTCCCCTCCCGATGTTGTATCGTGGGCACAAACAGGGAAAAGTTATGATCCTCAGATGCCCACCGAACCGGCCTCCTATCCTGTCACCAGAAGTGTAGCTCCACATCACTTCAGAATCTTTGAAGACTGTTGGGTTAATCTGTGACTCCGAGTTCCCGTCCACATGCATGAGCTAGTCGGACATATGTGTTGACTGGCACTGGACAAGGCTCTATCGCACACCCCCAAGTACTTCTTTTCTGTGCTCATCATCGCCGTGCATTGCACGTAAAATTGTTGTGTTTACCTCTGATTTAAAATGGGCTTCTCTTCCCAAGTCGCGCCTGGTAGAGTTCGTCCATTCACTCCAAGTAACAGTTTATTATTATTCTTGTGGCCCCTATCACATAATTCATAATGGGCTATTCGAAGCATTTGCGCGTAGCCCACCTCGCATTGACCATTCACAGGTACAGTTTGCGCATTTAGATCTTATTTGAGATCTACAAGATTGAAAAATTTCACACTGACTTTTATATTCATCATTGACAGCAGTACATTAACCATTTGAACTCATGCTTCGCTGCCATACCACGATAATAAGAGAGAGAGAAGGGGGACTTGCCGAAAAACCTTAATCCTCTAAGCAAACATTCAGAGTCAGGGCGACTACACCTCGTTAAAACACAGTCATCAACGGCTTGTTATCATGCGAAGATAAGACGGCATCGGCGAGACAGCTTCGTTTCTGCTTTTACTGCATCGCGTCATAATCAGTTATTACGTCGCAGATAACTCAGCACCAAACACATGTTAACCAGGCAGTCTGATTAGGAGACTGCAGCAAACGCGCCACTGCAGTCAACTGCGAGTTATGTCCTGTAAATTTTCGAGCCAAGCACAAGGCGAGTCACGTAGACTTTAGCCTGGAAAGCCAGACGGACCGACAGCGCCAAGTGTAGTCGTCATTTCCCGCTGCCAAGTCAACTTCTGTTCACCTCGAGCCTTGCTCCACGCTACATCTGGCAGACAGAACAAGGCCCTCCTCGGTAAGCGAGCATACGTAGTACGTGCCTAAGCCAACGCAACTTGTTCAGTGCTATCTGTTGTTCTAAGGAACTAGCTTGGTTATCATTGCCTAGTATTTGCCTACGCACATCATTGTTGCGGACACGCTGGTTCCACCGGACACTAGCAATGATCCGCTGACAGTGGTAATCAAAGACTTGAAGACATCTGAAACCTTGTTTGAAGGGGCCAAGTTTCGTTCCCATAGAGTAAGACGGCCCTCACTGTGGTCTTTTAAACACGACCGGAGGGAAACTCCTTTCTGTCGCCAAAGAGGTCGCCGATTCAAAAAGGCTGTTCTAGCTTTTACGATACGTGGGCTGACTTCAGCAGCTATGCACCCATTGTTGCTGATACGGTTGCCCAGGTAAGTGAATTGATCAACTACCTCGAGTTCCTCGCTATCTAAGGCCAAAGGTCATCAGGTGGTTGGTGTTTCTGCAGCAACAACTGCAATTTGAAGATGCGAAGCGCATATCGAATAATGGTACTGCTCTTTGGGGTTTATTCGGGGTTCATTGGGCCACTCTAAGAACGTTAAACAGCAAGACGATATCGTCCGTTAATCAGCATTAACTAGCTTTTCACCAAACAGCACCTCAACGCCTTTATCATGTGACTCCGTGATGGAGTACACGACGAAATTGAACAAAAAATCGGGAAATTGGACAACCCTGACGAACGCCACTTGTTCTTGGAGAGCTTTCCAACAGGTCACAGTCGACCCTGACGCGACCTGTATTGTTCGAGTACAGAGCAAGTAAAATGTTCACATATTTCATGGGAACACAATACCGCACAAGTATTTCGAACTGAATGGATCGACCGACTGAATCGAACGCACTCTTAAAGTCGATGAACACAGCTATTGTCGGTGTGCGGTACACGTGCCGCTGTTCTAACACCTGCCGCAAAATAAATAGGTAGTCCATACAGGCACATCCAGGGCGGAGGCCTGCCTACTCTTACTTAATCCGCGATTTCCGTTCCGCAGTGAGGCGACGAACGAGAATTGAGGCCAGTACTTTTGTCACAACTGGCGTTAGGCTAATGCGCCTGTGGTTAGCACAGTCGGTGCGACTGCCGTTCTTGAAAAATACTACTATAATCGATTCGCCCCAGTTAGAGGGGACGGTCTCCTCCTTCCAAACATGTTCGAACATGGAGGTCATTGCTTCGTAGTGCAGATGAGAGCGAATCCGCACCAGCAACACGAAAGCGATGGAGGGATGTGATTACATTTTGGACCTCAGCCTCCGATGGCGCCTCTAAACTTACTGACCTTTGCTCTGCCTGGTTCACCTGTGCTGAGTACCATACCTGCCTACCTTGACCATAGGCTGTCGCGTCAGTGTCTCTTGATGCGTACAACCAATAGCGAGAGGATTTGCCGGGCGCAGTTAATTCAACAACCCGGTGGGGGTCATGGATCGGTTTTTTTCGGATACGCAGCCCACGTCAGTAGCGAGTGTGTCTAACGGGTGTGCGAGTGCAGCCTGTTGACCTATTTGTCTTGGCGTGCGAACCTTGAATGCCGCCAGGGAAAGGGAACAGCGGAGACCTTTAAGTGACTGTTGCCGATAGGCATCCAGTGGGTGGTGGCGGAAGGTAGCTACAAATGGTTCTACTCCAGTGGCATTATGGCTGCTGTCAATTAAGTTGGGAAAGTTATAGGCGGTTGGTTCGTAATTGGGTTGTGAGTGGAGTAAGAGAAGCGGCTGAAAAAAGTGGAACGCTAACGGTACCATGTTTTCGCTTATCCGCTCTGCTGTACGCATCAAATAAGGGGACCCTTGGTTATCTGCTCCACGGCCGATGCAGGATA